GCAACTTAGATAAGGGGAAGAAAAAGGAAAAGAGATCCTGTCTCAAAAAAATTTTTTTTTAAATCTAGGAATATAGTTCATTAATAAAGTGTCCCTGGGTTCAATTCCCCAAATAACATCCCCACAAAAAAAAGATCTAAACTTTAATACTAAATACTCAGTATAACAACCTAAGCAAGATATACTCACCTTACAACAGAAATTAGTGATATGGTTTCATGTGATGAAGACACACTTTTTTCTTGTTATCCATTTATAAAGAAATTTAGTAATAAAAGTTCACTTTCACTTAGGCTATAAAAAAAAACTACCCTGATTATACAGTTTATTTATTCTCTAGTCCAGAAGGAAAAGTCTAAATAGGTTCCTTCCTGCCTTGAGGTATTGAGAACAGAGTATCTTCAGTAAGAAGGCTTTACATAGGATAAATCAGTATAAGAGAGAAGGCAGGCAGTCAAAAGACTTGATTAAGAGAGCTTTAGGGGACTGGGGCTGTAGCTCATTGGTAGAGCACCCACCTCTTGCACGTGAGGTATTGGGTTCAAACCTCAACATCAAATAAAAATAAATATATTGTATCCAACTACAACTTAAAAGTTACTAAAAAAAAGAAAAAAATAGGGCTGGGGATGTGACTCAAGCGGTATCGCGCTCGCCTGGCATGCGTGCGGCCCGGGTTCGATCCTCAGCACCACATACCAACAAAGATGTTGTGTCCGCCGAGAACTAAAAAATAAATATTAAAAAATTCTCTCTCTCTCTCTCTCCTCTCTCACTCTATCTTTAAAAAAAAAATTCTCTCTCTCTCTCTTCTCTCTCTCTCTCTCTTTCTTTAAAAAAATATATATATTTTTAGGAAAACATCCCTAATATCGCTTATTTTCCCTGAGAGGGAAATATGTGCCAAATATATCAGTGCAATTCTTGAGTAAAAGAAAGAATTTGTAGAATGAATGGGGAGAGGGTTTGATTAAAACTGCCTTCCCTCAGGGGCAGGGACATAGTCATACCCAACACTTAAAAAAAAAAAAAAAACCCACAAAGAAAGAGAGCAAAAAAGAAAGAACAAAAAGCATCAATGATTTGCACATCCTGAACATAGGATCTTCAGGTCCTTTAATTTCTTTTTTTTTTTTTTTTTTAAAGAGAGAGTGAGAAAGGAGAGAGAGAGAGAGAGAATTTTTAATATTTATTTTTTAGTTCTCGGCAGACACAACATCTTTGTTGGTATGTGGTGCTGAGGATCGAACCCGGGCCACACGCATGCCAGGCGAGCACGCTACCGCTTGAGCCACATCCCCAGCCCAGGTCCTTTAATTTCAAAAAAGATATTGTAAATCCAGGACTTTGTAATTTTAAATGTCAAAACTGGGCAGAGTTAAAATAAAATCTATTCCAAGCTATACTCAGATATATAAGCAAAGAGCACAAATATCAAATTATTTAATTCAAGTCTTAAGCATAATAGACTTCATCCTATATAAAACATAAGAGCAGTAAATCTCTATCTTGGTCTCATGGGGATTCCTAAGAGGAGGCAGATGAGAATACATTATTTCCCCAGGGAATGAGACACAGGAAAGGCTTCCCAATCGGGATTCCATAATGGGAATGACTATTTCCTCTTTTCCAAGATTTTACAAAGAATACTTTTAAGATGTTGTTGCTGGACCACAATAAACAATTTAAAAACAGACCCACCCATTGAGTTAGTGCTAGTGGAATCTATCCTTCTCCAAGTGCCAGATGGAGATTTAAAAAAAAAAAAAAAAAAAAAAAAAAAACTCTCAACTAATTGTAGCCAAGATTCCTTGGTATTTGGTGCCAGGGCCAGGATATTAACCCAGATGTCCTCGCCAAATTCAAGGTTGGTTAAGTGCAGTCTGCCAACCTACCAAAAAAAAAAAAGAAAAAACAACTCCTTCTGTTCCCAATTAGAATCTGAGCTCATTCTTCCTTGAAATTCTTCTAGAGTACCATCAGTCAGTATGTTTTCCCTTAAAACTGCACTGTAACTCCAATGGTGATTCTTTTGAGTTTCCAACTATACGGGAAACATACACTATGTATATTAAAGATATAGAAGACACTGCAGGAATTTAAAACTTCCCTAAAGAGCTATCTAAAAAATCAAATCCAGGGTAATACTGACATTGCTTCCCAATTAAGATGGAAAAGATTTACATAAAGGTTTACCCTAAAACACAGTGTGTACCACGAAATGTTTAAAACTAAAGGAGGGCTGTGCTGCCAGGAGCACAATTCTGGGGAAAATCTATGTATGCAAGTATCATTACATGGCCATCCAGGGGTCACCAAAGACCCTGAACAGATGCACACAAATAGAAATACACTCAATACTAAGCCTGAACATCAAGTACTGAGCTGGCCTGCTGGCCACCCACTTGGTTCTATTACCAAGGCATTCTGTACACTGCTTAAAGGCACATCAACTGGGGTGTGATTTCTAGCTCTATATTCACTAGCTGTGAACTTTCGGGGAAAATTAGCAAAATTCTTGGAACCTCTGTGCCCCCACCTTTAATCTTCCTCAAAATCATTAACACACTGGGCTGGAGATGTGGCTCAAGTGGTAGCGTGCCCGCCTGGCGTGCGTGCGGCCCTGGTTCGATTCTCAGCACCACATACAAACAAAGATGTTGTGTCTGCCAATAAATATTGTAAATATTTAAAAAAAAAAATCATTAACACAGCATAAAATTACTTAGTATTTTTAAACATTTAATAAATATGCATTTTGAGGACTATATATAGCCTGTATAAAGCCTTAACTATCTTCCCCTCCCAAGCTGCCCTTTCAGGACCCCTGTACTTGATATTCCTTCTTCCTAGAATGCACTTCCCTCTGGGATTGATTCCCTCACTTCCTTTAGATCAAAAGTCACATTCTCGGATCTCTTTCCAAAACTCAAAAATAAATAAATAAATAAAATAAAATTTCCAAAACTCAAACCCTTATCCCCAAAATTTCACATTCCCTCTTCCCCAGCTTCTTTTTCCTTACCATTTATCACTTTCTAGCAAAACATACTCTTTATTGTCTGACCTCCTTTAAGTGAAATTCCAACAGAACAGGCATTTCTGTTTTATTCAAGAGACTGTGTGACTTGCAGTCACAGTCTGAGAATCACACCTGCCACACAGTAGGTAGCTCAATATCTAATGAGACCTCATTACAGTCCACAGTTACAGCCCAGCTCCATAACCTGCCTTTAGGGGGATATCACACTTCAAAAATACCACAAAGGAGAAGTAGAGGCCTGTCAGCTGATATACACCCGTGTCTACTATTCACATCAGAGAAAAACACACTGGAGCTCCCACCTCATTTGTACAAGGCAAGGAGGAAAGAAGTTGACAGTTCTGAGTGGAAAAGTCTCACTTTAGTTAACAATATATAGACAAAGTTTTCTGGACACAATTAACAAATATTAAACCATTTTCCTGTGCCTTTACTATGCTACCTTCTATTTCTCTTTGATTTTGACTCCTATAAAACCAATCTTGGGGGGTGTAGCTCAGTGGTAGAAGGTGTTTTTAGTATGCCTCCTGGGCTCAATCTCCAGTAACATCAATTAAAAACAAACAAAAACAAAAATCTTGGAATTTATGGACCTCATATATTCAATTAACTAATAAATATTTATTGAACACATGGAACTCTACAGAATGCTACAGACGATCCCATAAGATGAAAGACAAGGTACTCTTTTGCCCTTGATATACAGATTCTAGGAAGACCGGAAATCCATCTGTAAATAATAAGGAACAGGGCTGGGGATGTGGCTCAAGCCGTAGTGCGCTAGCCTGGCATGTGCGGGGTGCTGGGTTAGATCCTCAGCACCACATAAAAGGAAAATAAAGATATTGTGTCCACTGAAAAAACTAAAAATTAAATTAAATAATAATAGTAATAATAAAGAACAGGAGGCAGCCAATACTTGACAAATTCTAAAGTGCCTACCTCTGTATGGCATATAAAGGGACCAATTCATTTTATATTCCATCCATTGGGCTTAAAATCCTAATAGCACTTAAAAAAGTAAGAGCTAGCTTGGGGTGTAGCTTGGTGGTAGAGTGCTTACCTAGCATGCACCAGACTCTTGATCCCATGGGGGAGCCAAAAGCCAAACATTACCGAGTCATTTCACCCAGGATGTGACAGACTTGATGTTAGACACTGTATAAGAATTTTCTTTTCAGATAAATTAAAAAATCAAAGTCTAAATTCATTAAGGACAGAAGCCTGATTGGCTTAAGTTGTGCTCTAGCAAATGACTGGAAAGAACAGGGATGGGCAAAATCCTGATATTCAGGTAGATAACTGTAGGTCCCACCCAGTTTCTGTTTTCACCCCAGAGCTGGAAGTAATGGGAAGGCCACTTAACTGCTTTATCTCAACCTCAAAAATTGGGAACAAGGGCTGGAGTACAGCTCAGTAGACTGGCCCAAAGTTCCATCCCCAGGACCACACACACCCACATCCACATCCACACGGGGCAGAAGCCTTTAACCAAGCAATCACCCATTTCCTTTGCTTTAATAAAGTCTGGCTTTGCTCTGGGCCCTAGATTCACCATATTAACTTAAAACTAAGCACCTGGAGTCAGAAGAACCGAGTTCAAATCCTTATCCCTCAGATGTGTGGCTCTCAAATTACTTGACCTTCCTATGCCCTCTTTGTAAAATGGGGATGACGACAACACCTCATTGCGTTGGACTGATTACATGAGATAAAAACACAAGACTTGCTCAGAGGCTGACCACAGAAGCCTTCAATAAATGTTCACTGTTATTATTTCCAGAGGGGGGAAAATGCCCCAGGGCTGAGGAGCTACATACCTGAGGATTTTTGCAGAAGGTATCATTAAACCTAAAAGCCAAACACAATGCTCTCCTGCCTCGTGGACACTATCACAGCAGCAATAAATCCCCAGAGTGATAACCATAAAAACAGGCTCCACAGCACGGGTACTTACAGAGCTCCGACCGCCAGGCACTGTCCTAACCTAAAAGAGGAAGAAGGCAAGGCTGCTGAATCACACAAGCAAAAACACATCACGGAATCTCTCCACCCTCCTCCTTAAAAGCAGTCACTGGCGCCCAAGTTTTGCTAAAAACAGGTATCTACACCGATTACAGACTTAACGTGTAATTTCGCCATGCCCCAGAGGTGGGGCTGCGCAGGGCGGAGGGTGGTGCTCGGCTGCTGCCAGGTGGAAAGGCCACAGGAAGGGGAGACGGCCGGATCGGGGTTTCACCCCGGAATCAAAAATTCTGCCGCACAGGGACTTCAAAATTCTGGGGGCCGCCAGCCTCTGCTTCTCAAATCACCCCCGACCGGTGTCGCGGTCCCGCATCGATGCCCGCGCGGCGGCAGGTCCAGGTGGCCGGCAGCGGGACCCCCAGGACGCGGCCCCCTCTCGCCCCGCGCCTCCCCGGG